GTGTAAAATGTGTGCGTCTCTAATTTCTGGATGTTAACCTAAGCATGTGTTGGGACTAAGCTTAAATATGTATTTAAGGGGACCCTAAGAGTTAGGATGGCATAAGTCACTAGGTTACTTCTGAGACGTCTTATATTCCAATGGGTAAAAATTCAGTGATTTGAGGCGCTCTTCATAAGGTTTGGATTTGAGTCTCCGAATTGACTTTGTGGCTCGCTTTGGGATACATCCCAGAGTATTCTTATCCTTTTGGAGTGAGGGCGGAAATACTGTTTCCGTACTTCACCAGGGGTCGAATTAAGTGGAATGTTCTACCGTCGAACTGGCCAAAAACGTGCCTCGACGTTACCAGTACAAGGTTTGTTCGAAAAGTAGTTTTGTTGCAGTTAGAATAAAACTTTAGATCCTAAGGTATCAACACCTAAATATTTTTCCAACTTGGGATACCTCTGAAAGGTTACCTAAGTTGTATGCATAGTCTACAACATGTCTCAGTTGGGCTACTTTACACTTCGAAGTGTTGAAAGTAAGTCCGTTGTTATACGCCCATCTTTGAGTCGAGTCAGATCCTCCTGAAGTGACAGCTCGGTTGCAAACGTCTCTTCAGAATTTCAAATCGTTAGCGAAAAGTAATAAACCAAACGACACTTGCTGAGGAAGGTCATTTATATGAAGTAAGGAAAGAAGAGTTCCTAGCAGTGAACTCGTGGGGCCGCACTAAGACATTCTGTAGCCTGGGAAAAAGTGAATTTTACGCCGACCCTAAAATGTCAATCATTTGGATATAAATTAAGCCACTCTCTTAATGCTGATTTGATACCTAACAGCTCAAGCTTATTGATGAGACGTATATGATTGACCCTGACAAAAGCTTTTGCGAAGTCAAGGTATACGACATCAACCAAGGATGGTTGTCCATCTGTCTACCGCGGTCAGTAGGCTGGTTATGTAAGAGTGACCCATACTGTTAGGGTGAAACGTTTATGGATAGTAAGTAGTCATATGGGACATCGTATATCATGGACTCCATAACTTTTGAGGTTATTGAGAGAAGTGCCACCGGCTGGTGACTTGAAGATTCACTGCGTCGGCTTCCTTTGAAAATCGGTTAAATGTGCGCTAGCATCTAATTTTCTGGGCCCGTGCCTCGGTCTAGCAAAGATGAGGATATCACATTAAGCGGTTTTGCCAAGATTGACACCGTTTTTTCCGGTATGGCAGAGTGAACCATATCCCAACCAGAAATATTCTCGCTTAGGTACTGGAGTTTCTGATATATTGAGTCAGCACTCAGGATTCACTTCTAAGACTGCTGTTGAGTTGCAGGTGAAGCTCTTGCTCATATAATTTGTATGTGACGGTTGAAATGTCTGAAAGTACTGTTCTGCCAGATCGGCAGCATCACTATCAATGTTGGTTGAGCCAATAAGACCAAACAACTAAGAAACTCTGGTTTCGGCTCGTCAAAGAGAGGCTGCAAGATGGAACAAGCTTTTCAGATTGGAGACAATTCTATCGACTAACTTTGTCTGGTACTGGAGCCTTTCTTGTCTTAATACCTTTATGCATTGGTTTTTTGCTTGTTTGAAGTGCCTACGTGTGTTGTCGTCTTTTGTATTTCACCCAGTAGTATTTTTCTAGTCTTAGCATTCGAAGAGTGTGATTCTTTATGACTGTATGTTGCTTGTAATTTTTGGGGACCGTTCGCGGGACAGACTGGTTTGTAGCACGTAAGGCCGTGTTCAGCATAAGTCACAGTAGGCGCTTGCGTCAAGTTGATGGTGAACTTTCCAGTCCACCTACTGTAGGTTGTCCTGTAAAGCCGATGGACCCAAACGTTTAAAATTCCGATGGCTGTTGTTATTAGGATGTTTTAGCTTAGTTTTGCTGACAAAGTTGAAGGCTATAACGGCGTAGATACTTTTCTCAGGGGAACCAAGACTAAGATTGTCGACTAGGGATTCTTCATTTGTAAATATTCAGTTTAAGCGTGACGGCGTCTGACTGTCTCTTCACCGAATTGGTAACACCGCATTTTCAAATAATCCTAAATATTTAATGAAGTTGGAGAAGCGAGCTTCGGTAGAGTTGTAATCTCCAATGTAGGTGTGTTTAAGGAAGTTGACTTTTAGAAGATTGAAGTGTCCTAGAATAAGGATGTGAGTGTATTCCAGACAAACAGAGCGGGATAACCCCTCCCCAACATACAGTTGTTGTATTCGGTGTCAGCAGTGAGCTTCCTGTAGATGACTCCAACTAGACACCTCGAGGAGCTAGACAAGCTCACTAGGCAGCATAAAGATTCATCAAGATTGATGAACTCTTGAGTGCACACGCGATACCAAGCAAGATCGTAGATAAATGGCTGTTCTGCCAGATACTGCAAGCTTCTAGTCCGTAATCTGAGATGCCTATGTTTCATATGTCTCTATCAGATGAGTATTATTAGCGCTACTAAGTCCACGCAACTCATTCATTTTGTTCGGTAAACTCGCAATGTTTGTACATAAGCGAGTAATGTTTTCGGTTTGAAACGTATGAGCTTCCTCGTCTTCTTTGTCTGAATGAGCCTTATGTGAAAGGAATTGCAATCTACCCACACAAGGTTTTCCGAGTGAGTAGTCACTGTCCCTTCTATGTTTTTCCATCATCATGAAGTTTGTCAGGATGTATGTCGATTCCAGTTGGTGACCAGCGTCTGTTGACGTGAAATGATTCGAGAGTGGCAGTCGTCATTTAAGAGGCTGAGGTTATCCTAATTAAACTGGGTTTGGAATCTCCGTCATTTTCGCCAACAGCACCAACTGTTGAGCCGATATGTCAAAACATAATAAAAATGGCCTTGACGTGAGAAACTGTGAAAACCAAATAGCAAGCTGAGGCAGAACTAGTTAACTATTAACCTGGATAAAACTCAAAAAGGTAATCTAACGAAAGCTGATCTCACGACAGATTTTCGGATCAAAAATGGTACTTCTTTGCATACGGATACTGCAAATGTTTGGAAAATGAAAATCACGTTACGATAATACATTCCATCCATAAAGCGTGTATCCAATATTAGATATTTCAGTCAGTAACAACGTAGAACTTCGTACGTACGTACATCAGTTCGAGTTGCCACACCACATTAGCACAGAGATGCAGCTGTCGATTCAAATCACGTAGTGGTAGAGGTAGCAAGAGTATAAGCAGTAATCGGGAAGATTAGGGTTTAAAGATGTTATTCAAATAGTATAATCCAGTGAAATAAATTTGGAAAGAAAATAAGGGACATGAAGAATTCAGAAGATTAGATTTTGGGAGAACACAAAGAGTGGATGCACCTGCACCATTGCAAACGGTTTGAGCCATGTCATTCAGGGTCTCTAACCATCGGTTGCTATCATCTCGCGGATCCCAACCAGGTAGTCTGCACATACCAACATGACTCAGTCCACTTGTCAGTGACTTCATGGACTTGTGCCATGTTTTGGTTTGGCCGCCTCTAGCTTTCTTCCAACCTACTCCTATACCACTGAACATAGCACGTCGAGGCAGTCGGTCGTTGGGCATACGTAACACGTGTCCCAGCCATCTCAACTGATGAAGTTTCACTACTTCATCAATTGATTTGCCATCCTTACCTAGTACCCGTTTCCTAACAACTGTGTTACTTACTCGATGGCCTCAGGATATACGAGCAATGTTTCAAAGACACCTATGATCGAGTACTGGTAACCTATGGATATCCTCTACTCTTACCGGCCATGTTTCACTGCCATAAAGTAGGACGGGACGAACTGCTGCGCAGTAAACACGTCCTTTGGTTGATAGACGGATATCTCGCCTACGCCATAAATGACGCAAGTTGGCAAAAGCTAGTCGAGTCTTCTGTATCCGTGCTGAGATTTCGTCAAACACCAGACCACAAGGGCTGATGAGACTCCCAAGATAAGTGAAGCGATCGACACGCTCAATTACTTCACTCCCTATCATTAGTTCGGGTGTCAATGCAACCCAATCCTGAAGCAACATTTTGCATTTCGAGGAGGAGAATCGCATCCCGAGCATGCTTGCATTGTTGCTTAGAGTGGTCAGAAGACTGCATTTTGTCAGCGTCTTCGCCAGATAAAATCATGTCATCAGCATATTCTAAGTCAACAAGTGAATTTCCTGGTAGAAGTTCAACCCCTGGAAATCTAGACGAGGAAAGTGTTATCTCTAAAAGTACGTCAATGACAAAGTTGAACAAGAATGGAGAAAGTGGACAGCCCTGACGAACACCACTACCTAACAGTATGCAGGACCTGAAAACCACAATCCTTCGTCTAACGGTCGCTAATAAGTAATCAAGTACTGCAGCTGCAACCTACTCGACAGCAATGACTGTAGAAGAGTCGAGAGTAGTGCATCAATGTGATTCCCCACAAACCATTTCCGCGGTCAATTATCGTCCTACTAGACAACCATTACGAGTCAGTCAGCAGAATTGGAAGACGCGGTTCGAGTACAAAAAGGGAAGCTTATTACAAAATGTGTTTATTCATTGTTCTGCAGGTCCAGCTTGCGTAAGG